GAAAACTTTCTTCCACAGCTGCAGTGCCTCCCCTCCCAACAGAAGCCACACGAGTAATTTCAGAACGGCTCTATACAATAGAGCTAAGCAAACATTGGCATTTCCTAGGATGCTGACATTTTTTATGCTTGTTTCCATCCAAATTGGGACAAAATACTAATTCTTCCCTGAAAAAAGTTCTGAAAACTCAGAAATTTCTAATTTTTTTGCCATTTGCTGTTGAAACACTTTGAGATGCTGTAGTTCCTCTGTGGGAGTTATAGTGTGGGTGCATGTTGCCTTCATTCTTTATAGTCTTCATTCTCTGGCTAGACTACATTTCCCATCATGCAACTTGGTTTGAGGGAAGACTACATTGCATCATGGGAGATGTAGTACCCAGCTACCTGACGTACTCCCTTCACATGCAAAACCAAAACCAGTGGCTAAGAATATGCCACAGTGGTTACCTCATTCAGGGAACCCATGAATTTTGCTATTGATTTGGACCTCATGGTCCTCCTTAACAGGACATCAGTTCACTTTGATCTGCCCCCATCCTCTTGGAAACAGGTCTAAAGTGAACTAACCAACTGGTGATGTCCAGAAATAGATGCAGTTTTTGTTGTTGCCATGAGCATGGCATGATTTTAACATGCCGAAATTGTACCCATGGCCACGGCACATGACGGAGGCTCAGTTTTGCACACGAAAGTCAGGAAGTGCCAGAGTCTTAGAGGGCAACCTCTCCAGGCAGGCAGCGTCTCTTCATCCGAACCACAGAAGCCAGATTCTGAGAGAGGACTTTGGCTGCTACCATGACCTACTTCTCTAATAAGAAGAAGCTTCAGAATCTGACATCTTTCTGCGTACCCACAAAGCCGCCCTGAGCACGACAAGAATCGACACTGACCGACAGCAGTGACAGATGCTGCACCACAGACTGCAGAATGGTTCTGCACGCTATGGCTGAGCAAACACTGGCATTTCCAGCCCTTGGGAGAGCTGCAATTGGCGCAGCCACCAGGGTAACAGATCTCCTGGGGCTGCTGGGCTGATCAGGATCCATTTTCCAAACTCTATACAAAGGGAAGGGGCATGAGCAACCTTGGCCTAGATTTTACCCTGCCCTTTGTGGTGAAGGGATGAAAACAGTTTTTGATCATCACTTTCCTGTATCATTCTGATCCTCTGAGGTTTGGCTCCGCGTGGTACCCAGTGTACATTAGAGCAGCTCTCACACTCCTCAGCTTGTGCGTTGCTTCCCTGCCCCTAGGAAGCTAAGAATATCCCATAAGGCCATCTTTGCCACATGCCCATCTCTCCTCTGAACTGCCTCTGTTTCAGTGGCTGGTGCCAATCCTTCAGACAGCTCTCTACCATGCAGACACAGGGGAGCTGGCTATAAAAAGTCTTCCCTGTTTCAGGGAGGGGTGGGGGAAATCTGGCTACAGGACCATCTCCCCCAGGGGAAGGGCCCAATGCAGAGTCTGAAAATGCTCCAAAACTTCCCTCCTCAGAAAATCTTTTACAGGTGTGAAGGGATCAATACCCCAGCTGGCCCTGAAAGAGTTAAGGGGCATGAGAGGCCCAGAGATCCAGCTGGCTGCCCCCGCTGGTCTCATTAAAGCTGATGCCCAGTTGGCACAGAAACTGCAATGTGGGGTGATCATCAAGGAAGGAAGCCCCGATCCAAAGGAGGCTGCTGGGGCAGAGGGAAGGAACGCGGCAATCCCTCTCTGGGATGAGGAAGAGTGGGAGAGCCGAGGGAGAAGGCTGGGGGAGAGTAGGGTAGCTTTGGGTTCCTTTTCTGAGTAGAAAGGAGTCTGGCAGTGAGGCTGCCAGACACAGCCTGTGGGGGTCAGCCCTGATAATAGGACAGGCTCTGAACTTCCAGGGAGAGAACCCAGGGGCCTAGACAAGGCCAAACCTAGGGCAGGCAGATGCAGCTTTACATTTGTACTTCCAGGGAAGGGGGGGGAGGGAGTTCCTAAGAAAAACATGAACTTCAAGAGGCTGGGGGAGGGGGTTAGCAAAGGGGTTACTGTAGGACGAACACCAGGGAGGCATCAGCGAGGCGCTTGATGGACCAGTCCTTGAGGGGGAGTTACAGGGCGAAGCTTTTTTTGACAGCTCCGGACGTTAGAGAATAAGGACTTTGAGAGGGCATGAGGCCCAAAGCAAACTTACGGAGTGGCAGCATTATCTGCTGGACTTCCTGTTACCTAAAAAGGCGTGGAAGTAAGATGTGGCCCGATAGAATTGTGAGAAGAGATGGGCCTCAGTGGGGGTATGTCTACACTGCCACCCTAGTTCGAACTAGGGAGGCTAATGTAGGCATTTGAACTTGCAAATGAAGCCTGGGATTTAAATATCCTGGGCTTCATTTGCATGTTCCCAGGCGGGCACCATTTTTAAATGCCTGTAGTTCGAACTACCTGCCCGCAGCTACACGCGGCATGGACTAGATCGTTCGAATTAAAGCTCCTAATTCGAACTACTGTTATTCCTCCTGCAAGGGTGCTAGAAACAGAAGAGCTGCTACATCGCGCCCACCCACGAGGGGGTGCCCCGGCTAGAAGTCAAGTGTTCTACACCAACCTAAGTGATGTTTGTCCAACAATCAACCCACCCTACCCCCAGTGGAGTTTGGACCTTCTCGAGGGGAAGGTGCCAAAGGAGCCTACTAGGGATTGCTCTGTGGTAGCTGATTTTACAGGGAAAGTAACCAGCTAGCAGAGTGATGAATGGTAGCATAAAACTCTAAGACAGAATTATGATAGAGGATAATAGAATCTTCCTGGGGATTTAGTGGCATTGAATAAGGAATACGTGTCATGAAAATGTGATGGCATTTTTGATGGTGTGGGGATGGAATTGGCAAATAAAAAGGGTGTAAGTTAGAGGTACAAATCAGATCTCACAATCCAGGAAGAGCTGGCAATAAAAGCACTGTCAGTCGAGGGGATAATAGTTATAGACAGATGATTCTAGCAGTATCTATGTCATGCCAAGAGTCCTAGACTGCTGTTCTATTGGAGGTAACCAATCACCACTCTTATTCTACAGATAATTTGCATACTATAGTTTCATCCATACAGAAACGCAACCAGCACACACAATAACCACAAACATGTCCAGCTGCTCACGGTAGCACACCCCTATCAGTCGTCACCCACACAAATCTGCACAAGTCTTCTAGCACAACACAACCTGCACGCATATCAACACAACCAACGCTCACAGTACACTTGAGTGGCATAGATGTGGGTCACCATGAGGGGAAAATAAGTGGAATTGCTATCTATTTCACAATCTCCCACCAGGAAAAGTTGATAGGAGGGCTTGGTTAGAATCACACACTTAGCAGGAGCATAGAAAGTATGATCACGGGAAGCAAGGAGGAGAAGGGAAGGAGCATATCCCAAATATAGAGAGAAATGTTTGCACCCAGCGTGAAGTGTGAAAGTAGAAAGAATTATACTGTAAGAGAAAGATGAATTATGCTGTAATAATTGAATAAGTTGAAGGAATACTGTTTGTCTCTGAACAGGAAGAAGAAAAGTATGTTAATGTTGTTTGTAGGTATGCAGATCAGAGTGCTAGCCAGGTGGGCCTGAGTTAATAGGAAAAGGAACATTAGGTATGAGGCAGAAAGCAATTGAGATAACCAGGGAGATATGGACAGGAGATTGCAGTGTGCTTGATGTGGAAATGAAGATACTTGACTAGCCTCACACTAATCATGTGAAGTTTTGCCCCTCTTTTAATCCTGTTAACTTGGCTTTCTTTTGACTATTAATCAAGGAGTTTGAACCTTGTAGAGTATTCACATTTTTCTGGGTGAATTAGCAGAGCAGCTTTGCTAATAAACAGAGCGGTCTGACAAATCTGAGTGAGTCCTGTCTGACTTTGACAAAAGCCAACTGGGAAGAGGAATAAGCAATGAGACAGGGATGAGACTCACTGAGTCCTCAGTGTTGCAAGATTTCACAGTTTTTCAATGAGCCCGATCATGTGGAGAAAGTTACCACTGAAATCCCAAGGCTCTGTGATATGGAACCTGTGGATATCCCATGGTAGCCACGTGACAGCCACTTGCCGACCCTGAGGATGGAGTTCCCAGTAAACTCTGTGCCATCTCCATTGGGCCTCACAGGGCAGGAGTGAGGCTAAACACTTAGGCTACGTCTACACTGCAGGATTCTTGTGCAAAAACTGTTTTACACAAGAGTTCTTGTGCAAAAGCTCTTCCACAAGAGAGCGTCTACACTGCCATGTGCTTTTGCGCTAGAGATGTGCTTTTGCGCAAGAGCGTTCACGGCAGTGTGGATGCTCTCTTGCGCAAGAAAGCTCTGATGGCCATTTTAGCCATAGGGCTTTCTTGTGCAAGAAACCTCTGTTGCCTGTCTACACTGTCTTCTTGTGGAAGAGCTCTTGTGCAAGAGGGCTTATTCCTCATGGGGAGAGGAATAACTCTTGCGCAAAAAGCCCTGTTTTCCAGTGCTTTACTGTACATTTATTTGGGCAAGAACGCACATGCAGTGCAGACGCTCTGCAAGTTTTCTTGCACAGTTGTTCTTGCACAAAAAGCCCTGTTTTCCAGTGCTTTACTGTACATTTATTTGAGCAAGAACGCACATGCAGTTTTCTTGCATAGTTGTTCTTGCACAAAAAGCCTGCAGTAGACATAGCCTAACCTATCAGTGGAAGTATGTAGCACACATATGAGTGGGGGTTATGCCCCTACAAAATCTGTGGCTGGAAAGGGCTTTCCAGCAGAGCCCAGTGAATAATCGGGTTTTGGGGGGCAGGAGGCGGGTTTCTGAACCTATACCAAAATATTTGGGAAACAGGGAAAAATTTTAGTTGAACCACAATAAAAATAAATTTCAACATTTTTGCCAAACTTAGTTGAACCACAATAAAAATAAATTTCAACATTTTTGCTAAACCACCGAATCAGGAAAACAAACCATTGAAGATA